CACACAACTTCCTACATATATTGTATGTGTCTGAGGCACACAACTTCCTACATATATTGCGGGACTCGTTTATTGATGGCTTTTTCTTACCTTTCTTGATTTAATGTTCACTTTTTTACCCTTGAGGAAAGTTCATGAAGACAGCCGTTGACGGAAACCGTTGTGCACTGTTTGTCGATATTAACCCAGTTCGTTGTCATTTAGCTTCCGTTATTAGCTGCGTTATTGGCTGCTGCGTTGATGGACGGTCTGTCGTTGTCGTTGTTATAGATTCAGCTACTCGGAACAAGTTCCAAGTAGCACGGGCTATGGAGAGCCCCTAGTGAACTTACCTGGCACAGGAGCGGTGGAGGTGTTGGACGGTGTGTTATTGTCATGGGGGGAACGATGTGTGTATTAGTTGATGTTGTTGTTTTAGATTTAGCTACTCAGAACGAAATGTCCATGTAGCACGGGCTATGGTGAGCCCCGTAATGTGTATGTGTGGCTTCAGGTATACATATACTTCCTTACATACGAGTACAACATTCTTCTTCTATCCCATTTTGTATGTACTTGTCCCTAAATAAACATTATTATTATTATTATTATTATTATTATTATTATTATTATTATTATTATTATTATTATTATAGAACGCTGCGTTACTGGACGCTGCGTTACTGGACGCTGGACAACTGGACGCTACGTTATTAGACGCGACGTTACAGGACGCTACGTTATTGGACGCAACGGTACTGGACGCTACGTTATTGGACGCAACGTTACTGGACGCTACGTTACTGGACGCTACGTTACTGGACGCTACGTTACTTGACGCTACGTTACTGGACGCAACGTTACTGGACGCAACGTTACAGGACGCTACGTTATTGGACGCAACGTTACTGGGCGCTACGTTACTGGGCGCTGCGTTACTGGGCGCTGCGTTACTGGACGCTGCGTTACTGGACGCTGCGTTACTGGGCGCTGCGTTACTGGACGCTGCGTTACTGGACGCTGCGTTACTGGACGCTGCGTTACTGGACGCTGCGTTACTGGACGCTGCGTTACTGGACGCTACGTTACTGGGCGCTGCGTTACTGGGCGCTGCGTTACTGGACGCTGCGTTACTGGACGCTGCGTTACTGGGCGCTGCGTTACTGGACGCTGCGTTACTGGACGCTGCGTTACTGGACGCTGCGTTACTGGGCGCTGCGTTACTGGGCGCTACGTTACTGGGCGCTGCGTTACTGGACGCTGCGTTACTGGGCGCTGCGTTACTGGACGCTGCGTTACTGGACGCTGCGTTACTGGACGCTGCGTTACCGGCCGCTGCGTTACTGGACGCTGCGTTACTGGGCGCTGCGTTACTGGACGCTGCGTTACTGGACGCTGCGTTACTGGACGCTGCGTTACTGGGCGCTGCGTTACTGGACGCTGCGTTACTGGACGCTGCGTTACTGGGCGCTGCGTTACTGGACGCTGCGTTACTGGACGCTGCGTTACTGGACGCTGCGTTACTGGACGCTGCGTTACTGGACGCTGCGTTACTGGACGCTGCGTTACTGGGCGCTGCGTTACTGGACGCTGCGTTACTGGACGCTGCGTTACTGGGCGCTGCGTTACTGGACGCTGCGTTACTGGACGCTGCGTTACTGGACGCTGCGTTACTGGACGCTGCGTTACTGAACGCTACGTTATTGGACGCAACGTTACAGGACGCTGCGTTACTGGACGCTGCGTTACTGAACGCTACGTTATTGGACGCAACGTTACAGGACGCTACGTTACTGGACGCAACGTTACAGGACGCTACGTTACTGGACGCAACGTTACAGGACGCTACGTTACTGGACGCTACGTTACTGGACGCAACGTTACAGGACGCTACGTTACTGGACGCTACGTTACTGGACGCTACGTTATTTGACGTAGAAAAACCAACAACAGAAGAACTGGAAGGGTTGGGCAGCAGCAGCAGCAGCGAGACTCCTCAATACTCACGTGTCACGCCTTTGACCACAGCGTCCAAATTTTTAGGGTGCTTTAGCGACAGTAAAAGCCCCAGAGTTATTAAGCTATCTGGGGGTCTAATGAGCAATACTCAGGACGATTGCCTCGTTTCAGAGGCTTCTGGTTTAAGCAAAAACCAATTCAAATTCAACGCATGTCAGCGGGTGAGCACGGATGCACGATCCTTCTTTATTGGGGGGGGTCAAACAGTCTCCTGTTGGTTGTCGCTAAGCCAATCAACGACTGAGGAGGGAGGGGGGAGGGGGAAACGCTATTGGCTATTTGTTGAGCTATCAAGAAATCAATGAAATACAAGACTAACGGGCCGTGAAACGATCAACCAATCGGAATAGTTACATGATGACTGTATTCAAATAAACCCTTCGAACACATTAGACAATAATCTCAGACGCAAGAAACAGGAGGAGGTGTTGCGGAGAATTCATTTATTGTTTTGTGTATATATATATATATATATATATATATATATATATATATATATATATATATATATATATATATATATATATATATATATATATATATATATATATATAAATATGCCGCTTCCCAACACACAGAGTTAGTGTGACACGTTCAGTACACACGGACGAAAGTTAGCCAAGATAAAAGCAGATTAGGTTGCCGCAGGGGGAGCATTCCTCGCGCGTCGGAGCAGATCGCGGTCCTGCGCGACCAATCTGTATACAATTCGGGTGAAATTGTGTCAGTATTGGGGCAATCTGGAGCCATACACGGGGTAAAGAACGCTAATTAGCGTCGGGTGCTGTGCACCTAGTGCTGTGGAGAGTGTTCATTACCATACCTGCGTCTGCACGCCCGCACGCACACACACACACACACACACACACACACACACTTTCACATTATTTGCAGATGATGCAAAACTAATGAGCAGAATCAGAACAGACAGGGGACTGTAATACACTACAAACAGATCTTGACCAACTCCAGAGGTGGTTTGAAAAATGGATGGTTGAATTTAACCCAGCTAAATGCAAAGTTATGAGGCTAGGGGCAGGAGTGAGAAAACCCAAGCGCTTACGTCACAACTTTGTACTTTCATTGTCCATAACGATTCATATTGCACAACTTCTCATTATATAACATTTTGAGAAATTATAGCAATTATAATTCGTAATGGAATCTTCCAGGATTATATATTAGTGAAGTCTGACTGAGACTGGTATTATTCTATCAACCGTGGAGGGTTGGGAATAAGGTCAACAATCTATCAACAAGGTCAGGCCAATAGATTACCGACCACCCCAGCAAGTAAGGGGGAAAGAGAAATATCGGGAGAAAGCGCCACAGCCATTACTACTCTACAGCACTTGGAAGAAGGTTAGAATTAGAATTTAGGATGGAACGGTTCGGTTTAAGGTTGAGCTTATAGGCTCTTGTCAACCAGCGGAGGAGTGTAGTACGACCACCACAACAGTTAACCAGCCAACAAGCATTCTCTAGTCCTTCAGCCTTGTTAACGAACAAACACAAAGCTGTGCTTGTTTAAAACTAAAATATACTCGATATATTTTCACCGAGAAACCGGTGAATATACATCTCGGTGTGTATATGGGTGTAGTGTGTTGTGTGATACAGTATACATTAAGAGCTATCGCAAAATACTAACGTTACTAGAGATTATGATACACAACTTAAAAAGAAAAGGATACCTTACAAAAGCCAAAAGAATATTATAAAGCTCCCTTAAATATTACGATACACTGAGACCCATTATGAGACACTGAGACCCATTATGAGACACTGAGACCCATTATGAGACACTGAGACCCATTATGAGACACTGAGACCCATTATGAGACACTGTGACCCATTATGAGACACTGTGACCCATTATGAGACACTGAGACCCATTATGATACACTGAGACCCATTATGATACACTGCGACCCATTATGAGACACTGTGACCCATTATGATACACTGAGACCCATTATGAGACACTGAGACCCATTATGAGACACTGAGACCCATTATGAGACACTGAGACCCATTATGAGACACTGAGACCCATTATGAGACACTGTGACCCATTATGATACACTGAGACCCATTATGAGACACTGAGACCCATTATGAGACACTGAGACCCATTATGAGACACTGAGACCCATTATGAGACACTGCGACCCATTATGAGACACTGTGACCCATTATGAGACACTGAGACCCATTATGAGACACTGAGACCCATTATGAGACACTGAGACCCATTATGAGACACTGAGACCCATTATGAGACACTGAGACCCATTATGAGACACTGTGACCCATTATGAGACACTGTGACCCATTATGAGACACTGAGACCCATTATGAGACACTGAGACCCATTATGAGACACTGAGACCCATTATGAGACACTGAGACCCATTATGAGACACTGTGACCCATTATGAGACACTGAGACCCATTATGAGACACTGAGACCCATTATGAGACACTGAGACCCATTATGAGACACTGTGACCCATTATGAGACACTGAGACCCATTATGAGACACTGAGACCCATTATGAGACACTGTGACCCATTATGAGACACTGAGACCCATTATGAGACACTGAGACCCATTATGAGACACTGTGACCCATTATGAGACACTGAGACCCATTATGAGACACTGAGACACATTATGAGACACTGTGACCCATTATGAGACACTGAGACCCATTATGAGACACACATTACGATACACTGAGACCCATTATGAGACACTGAGACCCATTATGAGACACTGAGACCCATTATGAGACACTGAGACCCATTATGAGACACTGAGACCCATTATGAGACACTGAGACCCATTATGAGACACTGTGACCCATTATGAGACACTGAGACCCATTATGAGACACTGAGACCCATTATGAGACACACATTACGATACACTGAGACCCATTATGAGACACTGTGACCCATTATGAGACACTGAGACACATTACGATACACTGAGACCAATTATGAGACACTGTGACCCATTATGAGACACTGAGACACATTATGAGACACTGAGACATATTATGAGACACTGAGACACATTACGATACACTGAGACCCATTATGAGACACTGTGACCCATTATGAGACACTGAGACACATTACGATACACTGAGACCCATTATGAGACACTGAGACCCATTATGAGACACTGAGACACATTACGATACACTGAGACACATTATGAGACACTGTGACCCATTACGAGACAATGAGACCCATTATGAGACACACATTACGATACACTGAGACCCATTATGAGACACTGTGACCCATTATGAGACACTGAGACACATTATGAGACACTGAGACACATTACGATACACTGAGACCCATTATGAGACACTGTGACCCATTATGAGACACTGAGACACATTACGATACACTGAGACACATTATGAGACACTGTGACCCATTACGAGACAATGAGACCCATTATGAGACACACATTACGATACACTGAGACCCATTATGAGACACTGTGACCCATTATGAGACACTGAGACACATTATGAGACAGTGAGACACATTATGAGACACTGTGACCCATTATGAGACACTGAGACACATTATGAGACACTGAGACACATTACGATACACTGAGACACATTATGAGACACTGTGACCCATTATGAGACAGTGAGACACATTATGAGACAGTGAGACACATTATGAGACAGTGAGACACATTATGAGACAGTGAGACACATTATGAGACAGTGAGACACATTATGAGACACTGCGACCCATTATGAGACAGTGAGACACATTATGAGACACTGAGACCCATTATGAGACAGTGAGACACATTATGAGACACTGAGACCCATTATGAGACAGTGAGACCCATTATGAGACACTGAGACACATTATGAGACAGTGAGACCCATTATGAGACACTGAGACACATTATGAGACAGTGAGACCCATTATGAGACACTGAGACCCATTATGAGACACTGAGACACATTATGAGACACTGAGACACATTATGAGACACTGAGACCCATTATGAGACACTGAGACACATTATGAGACACATTATGAGACAGTGAGACACATTATGAGACAGTGAGACACATTATGAGACACTGAGACCCATTATGAGACACTGAGACACATTATGAGACACTGAGACCCATTATGAGACAGTGAGACCCATTATGAGACAGTGAGACCCATTATGAAACATAAAAGTCAGGAGGAGTCATTACCAGACGTTATGAGACCTGCGGCTGAGTTAATGAGGCCAATTATGAGGCTTCACTGAGGACTCACTGGAGAGGAACTATTGCATTTATACATTTATTTGTGTATATGTTTTATTACTTGATTTATATACACTTTTTGTTCAAGGGACATATATATATATATATATATATATATATATATATATATATATATATATATATATATATATATATATATATATATATATATATATATATATATATATATGTATGCAGGCGATGAGTCACAATAACGTGGCTAAAGTAAGTTAACCAGACCACACACTGGAAGGTGAAGGGACGACGGCGTTTCGGTCCGTCCTGGACCATTCTCAAGTTGATTGACTTGGTCCAGAACAGACCGAAACGTCGTCGTCCCTTCACCTTCTAGTGTGTGGTCTGGTCAACAACTCTCTCTCTCTCTCTCTCTATATATATATATATATATATATATATATATATATATATATATATATATATATATATATATATATATATATATATATATATCGCTCCTGTTTACAGTATCTCAGATAAACACGCATATAAGTGTTCAGTCTCCCCTTGAACACTTCTCCAATCATGACAATATGGCTCAAAATAGCTGCTATGAATACATTGACACTTTCCCACTAGGCAAGAGAAGTTTGAAAAGTTGTCGAGAAGTTAGGGGAAAGTTGAGGTAGGGAAAGGGAAGGAAGGGGTGGGGAGGGGGGTTAAAGTAGAGGAGGGAAGGAGAAGGGAGGGAGGAAAGTTTGAGGGAGGGAAAGGGAAGGGAAAATAGGAGAGTTAAGGGAAGTTGTGGGGAAGGAGGGAGGTAAAAATTCTGTGAGTAGCGGAGAGAGAGAGAATGAGAGACACCGGGCGAAATTGAGAGAGAAAAGTAGTGTGCAAGGGAAAGGTGATGTGCGAAAGGTAGGGAAACAGGAGGTATGGGAGTGGGAGAGAGAGAGAGATGTGAGGGGGCAGGGAGTGAGGGAGAGATGGGGCAGGGAGAGTGAGGGAACGAGGACAGGGGGGGGGTGAGGGAGAGAAGGGGGGTAGGGAGTGGAACAAGTGGGAATGTGAGGAGAAGAGAAACAATACCAAATAAAAGACTAACATATGGATGTGACAGGCCGGCAGGGAGGGAGGGAGGGAGGGAGAGAGAGAGAGAGAGAGAGAGAGAGAGAGAGAGAGAGAGAGAGAGAGAGAGAGAGAGAGAGAGAGAGAGAGAGAGAGAGAGAGAGAGAGAGAGGAAAGAAGGACAAATTAAAGAACAAATTACATAGCTCCAACTAAACACAACTAACACATATCACAAAAGATTACTAGCAGCAAATCACCATCATATCCAAACTAAATTCTCTGTACCTCACTGTATTATATCTCCCGATAAGCTGTTACTGTACCTCACTGTACTCTATTATATATCTGCTGTTACTTCAGTGGTAAGACCCACCATCTGGTCACCACTTGGTCCGGGAGACATCTCCCGTCACGCAGGGTGCAGCCGCACCTCCACAAATCTCCAGTATCATCTATTGATACTGGAAATGGCTCAAAAGGGCCACCACTTACGGGCTATTCATGCCCGTGCCACCTTTTGGGTGGCTTAATCTTCTCTCTCTCTCTCAGTGGTAAGACACTCGCCTGGCGTTCCGCGAGCGCTATGTCATGGGTTCGTATCCTGGCCGGGGAGGATTTACTGGGCGCAATTCCTTAACTGTAGCCTCTGTTTAACGCAACAGTAAAATGTGTACTTGGATGAAAAAACGATTCTTCGCGGCAGGGGATCGTATTCCAGGGACCATAGGATTAAGGACTTGCCCGAAACGCTACGCGTACTAGTGGCTGTACAAGAATGTAACAACTCTTGTATATATCTCAAAAAAAAAAAAAAAAAAAAATGCAAGAAGATGTAGAAATCTTCATTAATATGAAAACTTTCCCTCTATTATAAACCTGTCGGCCGGGCTGTTTGTGTCAAATGAAAATATTTGTCAGAACAAAAAAATTTCCCGGTTAAAACCTTATAGTTTTCAGTGTGTCGTGTATATACGATACGATGATACGATAATATGTAACCAAACCACACATTAGAAATTGAAGAGACGACGACGTTACATCGTGTATATATATATATATATATATATATATATATATATATATATATATATATATATATATATATATATATATATATATATACCTTCACTGTCTTTACACATATTTACTTTCAACATCCTTACATATTAATTTTCTTTACATACACGAGTCCAGCCTTAACACATATACTCAATGCCGATATATCCAGGCATTTTCCAGCAAAGACGAGTCTCCTCCATAAACGTGGTCACCGGACGCAGAACAAACTGTAAGCGACAGCAGTATTGATCAATTTAGAAGCTTAAAGTAGGGACAACGTGTCCTGAGAAGACGGCTGGAAAGGGGCAGTGGGAAAGGAAGATGAGAACGAAGGGTAAAAAGGAAAAGTAGGAATGGGGAAAAGAGAAGATGGAAATAAATTGAAAATAAAGGAAAATGAAGATAAAAGGAAAAAAAAAAAAAACAAATATACCAAAAAATAGGAAAAATAAAACAAATAACAACCATAACACAAATTTCAATAAGAATCACGAACAAGACCGAATATTTCTATAACAAGACCGAATATGTCTATAACAAGACCGAATATTTCTATAACAAAACCGAATATTTCTATAACAAGACCGAATATGTCTATAACAAGACCGAATATGTCTATAACAAGACCGAATATGTCTATAACAAGACCGAATATTTCTATAACAAGAACAAAAAATTTCTATAACAAGACCGAATATTTCTATAACAAGACCGAATATTTCTATAACAAGACCGAATATTTCTATAACAAGACCGAATATTTCTATAACAAGACCGAATATTTCTATAACAAGACCGAATATTTCTATAACAAGACCGAATATTTCTATAACAAGACCGAATATTTCTATAACAAGACCGAATATTTCTATAACAAGACCGAATATTTCTATAACAAGACCGAATATGTCTATAAGAAGACCGAATATTTTTAAATGAAAAAGATGAACTGAGAAGACAAAATCTCACTGCTATATATATATATATATATATATATACATATATGTATATATATAACCGTACGGCTTTGTGTTTTCTCCTCATAATCACCCTACCACAGCTCCCTCAGTGACAGTGACAAACAAGCTTAATTTAAATAAAACCCCGAGAGGATAGCAGTGAAATATTATAACATTTAAGAAAAGGAAAGAGAGAGAAAAAAGAAATGAGAAAAGGGTTGGGGAAAAATGAGAGCATTACCATGAGAATGATGATAAAGAATGAGACCAGGGGACTGGAGTGAAGGAATGAGACCAGGGGACTGGAGTGAAGGAATGAGACCAGGGGACTGGAGTGAAGGAATGAGACCAGGGGACTGGAGTGAAGGAATGAGACCAGGGGACTGGAGTGAAGGAATGAGACCAGGGGACTGGAGTGAAGGAATGAGACCAGAGGACTGGAGTGAAGGAATGAGACCAGAGACTGGAGTGAAGGAATGAGACCAGGGGACTGGAGTGAAGGAATGAGACCAGAGGACTGGAGTGAAGGAATGAGACCAGAGACTAGAGTGAAGGAATGAGACCAGGGGACTGGAGTGAAGGAATGAGACCAGGGGACTGGAGTGAAGGAATGAGACCAGAGGACTGGAGTGAAGGAATGAGACC